TTCTGGTGGCTGCTCCACGAGGTGCGGTGGGCCAAAGCACCGAAGCAACGAGAGTTGTACAGATGCTCTCCATTGACGCGAAGGAATCCTGGTCTACTAATCACATCAGGGAGGCAGCTGCTGCGGGCTTCTTGGCATCGCTCTATTCACGTCAGTACATTGTTTGCAAAGGCGTAGTGGTTAATATGACCCGGAAGGTTGTTGAACTCGACCAAGTTTATACGGTTATTAATGCTGATTTGAAAGCCTCCAATGATTTGTTGCTGGTTCTTGGACCAAAGGAAGACGCACCACTGCTTAGGGCAATCCCTGCACTGAAGGCTCATGATTGTGTGTCATTCGCCCCCATAACCGGCTCCAGCCAAGTGCGTGGGTGGAACCCCAATCTGTACTTTCTTCGCCCTGAGCCCGCCGCTGAGCTGCTTGCTCTCATCCGCTACGCTGTGAACCAGTTGCGTGTGCTGCGACTGGGCTTCATGTACCTGCAGGGTGTCTTTTTTGGAGATTCAGAGTACACACAAGCTGTCCGAGTTCTTGGGCGTATGGGCTACGGGCTCAGCGGTGTGTTCACTGTGAAGAGCTCCTACACCGCTTCTGCCGATACTGATGAGTTCAACGCCGAGTGGGAGAAGTTCGCTGACACCCACCCGCAGGCTGTGATTGTGTTCGGTGCGCAAGTGAATGACACTGTGAAGTTCATTAAAACGATGTTGACGGACCCCCGCACACGTAACAGCTTCCTTCTTGGGCCATTTGCACTACAGGACATTCTATTGAGTACGTGGCGTGAGGCAGTGAGCGGTGGTGGTGTTCCGTTTGTGCGTGGCCAAGTGATCACGACAGGCGTAAATCCACTGGCGAGCGACACGCAGTACGAGGCGATTAATCGTTTTCAGAAGGAGATGAGGCAATATCTGTCGAACCACACAGACGAATACAAAAGCACGAATCATTTTCTTGAGAATGATCACGACGGCGAGTTGATGGTTTCTGGGTGGATTGCTGGTGAGGTTCTCTCACAGGCTCTGAGCAACCCTGAGTGGATAAAGGACAGGGCAACGTTTAAGGAGTCTCTGTTCAACCAGCGCCGGTATTTGGTCGATGATCTTGTGATTGGCGACTTCGGTGGCGAGTGTGTCGGAAATGCAGCTATGCAAGGCGCTGCTTGCAAATGCAATCAAGGTGGCCGGACTGTCTATATGAAGCGTTTTGTTGAAAATTACCATGTTGAGGTGCTTGACAAGGGAAATCTGGTTCTTCCGCTGTCCGAGTGCAATACTTCAAGCCTACGTATTGTGGCACCTTTCAATGGAATAGCGATGAGGTTTACAGATCGACCTCAGCAGCTGCATGCTATTCTAGAGATGGGAGTCGGATACTACGCTGCTCAGGAAGGCAGCCCACGCCTGTCAAATGCTCAAGATCTCACTATGCAGTACCTACTGTCTACCGTAGTCGGTGCCTGCGATGCACTGGAGGAAGAGATGTCAAAAAAACACCTCCATGGTGTCGCCGGCCTAGTCACACAGACGATGATGGGTATGACAAAGCTAACCCTTCTCGACCCTGTCGAAATGCTCCCAAGCCCAAACAGATTCCGCAGGAACGTGGTCCGGTTGTCGACAACACTAGAGCAGGAGTTCTTTGTGGTTGCGCAGTACCTCGGCAACACTACTTTCGCCAACGCCCACGCTGTGATCCGCAGCGATGAGGCACCCGCAGTAGTGGATGTGCTACGGCGGTCGCTTGTGACGTATGGCGGGTCGCTGCTTTCGTACGCGCTGCTGGGTGCCGATGACGCGCTGGAGAGCCACCTGCCTCGCGACGGCGATGTGTTCGTCGTGGGCCTCGCTGCTGCCGATGTCGCTGTGGTCGCGGGTCACCTGGCGAAGCAC